GTGGGATCTGGGAGGGAGTTGGGGTGGGGGTGGGGGTTCTGACCTGGGGCAGGGGGTTCGGGGTGCGGGTGGGAAGCATGTGGGGTCTGGGAGGGAGTTAGGGTGGGGAGGGGGTTCTGACCTGGGGCAGGGGGTTCGGGGTGCGGGTGGGAAGCAGGTGGGATCTGGGAGGGAGTTAGGGTGGGGAGGGGGTTCTGACCTGGGGCAGGGGGTTCGGGGTGCGGGTGGGAAGCATGTGGGGTCTGGGAGGGAGTTAGAGTGCGGGAGGGGGTTCTGACCTGGGGCAGGGGGTTGGGGTGCGAGTGGGGGAGGTGTAGGGTCTAGGAGGGAGTTAGAGTGCGGGAGGGGGTTCTGACCTGGGGCAGGAGGGTTCGGGGTACGGGCTCTGTCCGGGCGGCACTTACCTCAGGCGGCTCCCGGGGCTCAGGCAGGCTCCCTACCCGGCTCCGCGCGGCTCTCGAAAGGGACCGGCATGTTCGGCCCCAGGCGCCGGGGCGGGCAGGGGGTCTCCGCATGCTGCCCCCGCCAGAGCGTCATCGCCCCACGGTGGGCGTCATGACATCATTGCTGCTGATGTGACGTCACTGTGGTCATTATGACATCATCACTGGTACCATGGCCTCATAGTTTCTGCGTGACGGCGTCACGGGCATGAGACACAGTATTAGAGGCTGTTGTGCTGTGACATCACGGTGTGTTATGACATCATCAGAAGCTGTGTGACATCATTGTGGGGGGTTATGAAGCCACAGGTGGATGACCTTATCACTGGCTAGTACTGTGAGTGCCGTTGCCATGGGGACGGATCCAAGATGGCCGACACCACTGTTGCTCGGGGCAACGCGTATGCACTCCGCCCTCAGGGCCCGCCCTCACCACCAAGTTGAGTTGCCCTACACCCCATCCAAGCGAAGGCTCACTTAGGGGCGGGATTTGATGTCTGTCACTCGAGGAAAGTAACAAATAGGCTGGGAGATTGGGCAAGAGGAATGGAGATCGAAGCCAATAGTCTGAGGGAGGAGGCGGGTTTAGGAGCTTTTATCCAATAGGATTAAGAAGGAGGCTGGATTGACAGTGACACAATATCCAATGGGATTGGAGAGCAGGCAGTCCCGGGTATTATTCATCTAATTGGATATTAATAAAGGTGGGATTAGGTCGGGGAATTAGCCAATGGCGTTATGGAGGAGACGGGGCGAGTGCACCGAGAACCAATGAGTATAGAAAATGGGCGGGAGGAAGGCGTGGCATTAGCCAATAATAATTCAGATGATTGGTTAAACTGTCAACCAATGGGATTCCAGTCCAGATTCGGGTGCCAGCCAATGGCGTGACAGGAAGGGCGAGGCTAGTGCCAAATCAGCCAATGAACTGCGACAGCAGGTGGGACTATAGTCGCCGCCAGCCAATGAGCGCGGAGCCGCCCCTGCAAAGCGGCCGAGGCCACCCCGCGTTTTCCTTAGTGCCGGAGCTGGGAGCTAAAATGGCGGCCGCCGATGGAGATGACTCGCTCTACCCTATCGCGGTGCTGATCGACGAGCTGCGCAACGAGGACGTCCAGGTGCTGGCCGGGGCTGGGGAGGCCGGGCCGCGGCCGGTGGGGGAAGGCTGGGCTGCGGGGATCCGCACAGCGAACGGAGCCCGGGGTCCGGCGTCCAATCACAGGCCGCCTCTCATCCCCAAAGCCGCGCTGCGGGCGTGAGAGGAGATGCCTGATTGGATGGGAGTGCCACATTGGGCTGAATGGGAGTCTGGGGGCCAATGTCTGTGTGCGGGGTTGTCTGACCCCCCCTTCCCCCCAAACACCACCCCTGTGGGTCAGATGAGATATAGCCGCTGATTGGCTGAACGTCTCCCCCATTCATTCCAGTGGGGCCTCTCTTCTCCCTGGGATCAATGACCCCTGATTGGCTGTGGGGTGCCTGTAGAGCCAGTTATGGGGTTTGGCTCCCGTGACCTGGGGTGTGGTGTGAGGGGGTGCCTGGCTGGCTCCTTCCCAGGTATGTCCCCTATAGCCAATCACAGGCCATGCCTTATCCCCCAGGGGTGAGGTGGATGACAAGAGGTTGCTGATTGGCCAGATTTGGGGGAGGTGGGGGGGACATGGTATACTGGGGAGTCGGGGAGCCAATCAGAGAAGCTCTTAAAAGTGTATTTTGCAGGCTATACTCTGATATACCACTGAGCGGGGGCTTCATGGGGGATTGGCCAAAGGGGGCTTCCCTGTGTTATATAGAGTGGGGGTGGGGCCTATGAGAGCCAATCCTTAACCTCTCTCTGTGATTGGCTGGGGGAAGTTTCTGTCTTGGGGAGCGCGGTCTGTGGGAGCCAATCCCTGCCACTGGCCTGTGGTAGATCTGGAAGTGACCTGTGGCAGCCAATCCTGGGCGTCCCCTAGGAGATGGTGAATGTGGCTGGCCTTGGCACACCCCAAGAGAGTGTGATTTACCACAGCCGTTCCTAGGGCTTCCTTGTCATGAGTACCTTGTGATTGGTCCTTACTAGCCTCCTCCATGACTAATGCTGGCCAAAGCTTGTAAAAATCAATCTCGGGGCTCCCCTTAATGAGCTGCTGCATGCAAGTGGCTGGGAAAGGCTGTGGTGTGGTGGGGGAATGCCCCCCAGGGGACCAATACTGGGATTAGCCTAGGAAGCAGCTGTGTGTTTGGCTGGAAAAGTTCCTGCCATATAACCATGGTATATGTTGGAGAGAAGGCTCAATCCTCTGATCTCTTCCTTTCTGGGGGAGAGGGGGCTTGGGCTTGATTCAGGGGGTGCTCCGGTAGCTTATGAGCTCAGGCTAAGGATGAGGGTGGTGGGGGATGGAGGATATGA